GGTATAAACATGATACCTCAATGATTATATATAGCAGATGTCTACATTACAATTACCATGGAATGTACCTTCCATGCAATTACGTAACCACATTACAAGGCCAAATGGCTTTACTTTATGGTCCCCTGACACCTGGGGCACGTTCAGGTTTGTTATTTCACGTGCTATCACGTGAATAATCCAGTTGTTTAATCCAGTACTAAATTTGTTGGTTGTCTGAAGTTTAATTGAGCGCCACAGTAAAAACATCGTCTTGTACATACCGTTCCTTCTCGCCCACAATTATTTACGATTTATGTGGATTCCCACAAAGAGTTAATACAGTGCTTAAATACAAGGGCCACCTCAGACAGACATGATATAATAATATTGAAGAAGTTTCCCTCCATGGACGTACTAATTAGTACGTGCATGCTCCCTCCAAGAATGTCCCCTCTTTTTCGACGCCGGAAAAATGTCAGTCCCGGAATTTCTTTTTGGATTCATGCACTTATTATATAGTAAAGGTGGATAGGAAGATCTTCAGGTTTTTAAATTACACAGGATATAATAAAGCTGGATGGTCAACAAATCAGTATGAAAACTAAATATTCAGTCTGTCACTCAAAATGATATGTAAAAGCTCAGACTAGTAATGTATTACTAGTCTGAGGTAAAAGTTTGGAAGACGTGTTTACCCATAACTAGATTTGTGGGCACCACAGTAGAGTGACTGTGGTATAACCGATATGTAATGAGCTTACGTACAAATGACGTAATGCTCATATTTGTTTTATCATTGTATTGTTTTATAAATTTGCACGTTTCGAGCCTGGAATGAAAACATTAGATTTGTTCACTGACACAAAATAAAATAGTTCTCACTGTGTGTATAGAATATTTGATAAAACGCTCTAAGTGAGATGAAAACGTGATGAAAAATACAACCAAGAACGCGATTTACTATACCTAAACGTAATATTTCTGCAATATTCTCATCTTTGACATCTCAAGAATTGCCGATTCGTAAATAATCCAGAAAGTGAATTCTAATGTATATCTATATTCATGCTTGTATGCTGTCATCCCTTTTTATTAGTCAGAGTTTAAAGCAATTTTGAAAATAGAAATACCTTCCAGAATCTCAAGTACTCCCTAACTCCCTCCCTAATATACAATGGAGTACGTGAAATAGTATTTTTAAGTCGCTCATTCACGCCAATCAAGTCTCGGTCATATATCTCAAAGTTATTTAAATTTCATATTTAGCTTAAAAACTGAATGTCAATTTTGGCCTTAACAGTTTGGCCCTAGATCGGTAATCATTATCCAACATTATTAAGGCACATACATTTCGCTTACCAAACATACAACATAGTCGATCTCGATTTTGATATATCATGATTTGAATTTTGCGGATTAAATACGATCGGCATTTGACGAGTGACGAATATGTATTACAATATCAAATGCGACACAGCATAGCTTAGTCTGACAGTGAACAAGAAGTCGTGGCATAATGTGATACGTAAACTGGCCAAGCCGTGACTATTTTACTGTTGTGCATATGCCTTTCAATAAGAATTTGGAAAATTTCTAGTCCTGGTGCAAAACTACCGTGACGGCGAGTGGACTAGAATATGTTGGTGCGCCCTCTAGCGGAGTTGTAAAAAATCGTTTTCCCGTTTTCGACTTTTATGCTAAAAAGCATTTGCGACCTGTTTGCCAATGACATCGTATGATCTGGTATTTTCAACGCATTCCGAACGAAGTACAGTTGGCAAAAACTGCCGAGTTAGGAATTTGAATTTAATATAGTACCATTAAACGAGTCAATTAAACGAGTCATTTCACTGCGTGAATTTATAGTAATTATTGAAAATGTTACCCCAACAGTGCAATATAACTGACAATATAGCGTACAACAGCGACGTTAAAGGGCAGTAGTTATCACGCCACGCATGCTCGAGGTATATGGGTCTCATATAAACAAAGATGGCGACTTTGACTGTTTTATTTCCATCAGAAGAGCGCATTGCATTGTGGGAAATCAATGTTTATCAACACAAATGTCGCACATGCGCTGCGCGACGACCACCGCTCTTTAATGACAAGACAAGCATCAAAAGACAAAGAGAAAGTGTTGGTTTACAGGACGGTTTTAGTAACCATGAGTTCACGTTTCGCTTTGTACAGAAAGTCTAGACTGAGACATAACATTTATAGCATAGAGTTGGAAGATGCAACTGTATGCTAATAAGATAATTACCATTGTTTGTAGTTACTTTCCCGGAGTAATTAATAACTGTCGACTTAGTAGGAATTGTTGCAATTTGATTAAAATCTGATGTAGTGTACGGGCTTTAATTATTTTGGCTATAAACTTATTTTAATTTTATTTTTTATTACTTTTGTTATTAATGCCCTTTTATTTTATTATTTTACTTTGATTTTGATTTTGTGATTTTTTTTAATTCCGCCCTACCTACATCTGACCCGATGCCTATGTAACGAGATTTCAACGAGACCCACAATCGACGATTTTAGTCAACGAATCACAGACCTTCTTCTATAGCGCACATGATGACGTCACCGGGCAGAGTCTGGTGGCAAACACACTCAAATAAAATGGCGTATACGACGTTAGCGACCGAGAAAAACACGGCTTTTCGGTAAGTTTATCATTGTCAAATGCAACGAAAGTCATTTTTATGTTAATATTGTGGTTCGACTTTAGATCGTTATTTTGCATAGTTATTTTGAGAGTGACGATTTTGTTTCCACCGGTTCGACCGAACACCGTCGCCTGCCCTGGAGACGGGTGGTGTTTTGTTGATGATCGGGCCAAAATCGTCTACGGTATTGAAGCCGTACCTGTAAATATTCATCAAATTGTATCAACATTTTGTACATTATACAATAACTCCTTATTAAAGTAATTGAGCTGATTTGGACTAGAATAAAATATTTTTTTATTTGGAACACATCGCAATTGATCAGGAAATGTTTTTTTGCTCCAATTTTCTGCGTCGATGCCGTGGGCCGCTGACCGTTATACAATTTAAAATCAGTTTGCACTGTTTACTATAGCTGTTTATAGTGTTCTAATCATTACGATTTACTTATTTTTTTGCTTCCATTCTAGATAATTATGCTCAGTGATGTAAAATTGAAACGATGACTGAATGAACGAACCTTGGTTGGCGAAGATGAAATTTACATAGGCGTCGGATCAGATGTAGGTAGGGCGGAATTAAAAAAAAATCACAAAATCAAAGTAAAATAATAAAATAAAAGGGCATTAATAACAAAAGTAATAAAAAATAAAATTAAAATAAGTTTATAGCCAAAATAATTAAAGCCCGTACACTACATCAGATTTTAATCAGATTGAAATTGTTGTACATTTGTTCTTACTTCTGTTTAGTTTAATATGAACATTAAAGAAGTATTTTTGGCGATTCCGAGGTGATGGATTGGATGAATTGCTACAGTGAAATGGTACACCCATGTACTCTTTGAAGTATTTTGCGTCATTTTTACACAAGTTTCTTGAATATACGTTGAATTTTGTTTTCAGCGTTTACAAAATTATTACCCATGATTCAATTTATAGTGAAACAAAATAAGTTAGAGTTGCTACGTTTAGTATAGCCGTGGTTCCGCGGCTTTTTGGGTCCGGATTGGTTCTCTCCCCTCGATCTCAGGCAACC